CTTTTCAAAGCACAGCCTATGGGGGAGTTTTCAACCCCTCCATAGAATATTCCTGAGCATACAGGCGTTTTTGTTTTGATGCTGCGCTCTTTAATAAGAGAGGATTTCGTTTTCTTCTCCTGGAGCCCTAGGTCAAAAGCACCAGCAGCCTCTGTTGGGAACTTGTGGCATTTCCAGTGATTTTGATACAGAAATAGCACAAGTCATTCTTGACGTGGCTGCCAGTGCCATGCTCTCATTAGTGAATGGGGACCATGGCTTCAGTCTCTGCCGATGGTACTTGACCAAGGCTATAGCCACGCTCTTGGCCTCCTGATGATGGCAATGGGGCTGGGGAGGCCATGTTCTTAGGAGTCCTTGGCCAAGTCTCTTTGCCTGTGTGGATTCCAGGCCTCATTTTGTGTCTGCCAAGGTGGCCTTACTTGAGAGGGGGCAACAACAGGAGCAGGTTATGGGGTGTGAGCCACAGGCAAGAGCGAGCCTTTGATCTCATCCTGATCTCAACTTCGGTAGCCAAGAGTGGAGATCTCATTAGTACTCGAGGACACAGGCCAAGGTAGTCGTTCTATCCCTCCCTAACACTTGTGACAAGGAAATGCTCTTGGAGCTCACTGGCAGACTTCACTGAAGGACCAGTCCTGGCACCCAGCACCTCCCTCTGCTTTCATGTAGAACTGAGCCCACTGTGGACTAGAAGAGGGGTCTCAGTGGACTGTAACATGGGTCTTGATTGCTCTGTGGTGCTTGAGCTGTGAGAATGATGCCCTTCAACCCTCTGGAGACCTGTAGTCCACACAGAGCACAGAACAGGAGGGCTTGGAACTAGCCCTGCCCTTGGCTGCTTCTTCAGCTGTTGGGCCCCTGGAAGTTAGGAAGTGGGGACTGGCCACCATGCATTTCGTGTATAGAGTAATGGAGAAGGAGACCTGGGGACAATCCTGACCCTTGGCTTGGATGGCACTCACATAGGAAGTTCAGATTCTTGCGGGACAGGGAGTCAGGGTAATGCCTGAGTGAGAGGGGGCAACAGTCTTGTATTTGTTCATCATGCATGAGGAGTATGGTAACACTCCACTCACCTTTCAGTCTGGCTTACAGTTTAAGGATCGTTACGAGTACCCGAGGTCACAGCTTCAAATACAGCTTTAAAAAGATGCCACAGGAACTAAAACAGTAAGTTGAACAACTGAGCGAAGATGCAGCAGAACTCAAATCAAGCAACACGTTCTGCCCCATGCTGTCCTCAGCTTTAGTTTGTTAACATAAACCTGTGTTCAGTGCACGGCCAGTGCCTTCACAGGGTCCACTCCCCTGTTCTTCAAAGAGTAAACACATTTGCTCACACGTGCTGGCTGTTGGTCAGAGAACCGGATAACCCTTTTACATGCCTCGGTGGGGTGCTAGCCAGCCTTGACCTGTCATCCAGGAGCTGTGCTGCCTGTGTTGCAATAAGAAGAATGTCAGTGCTGTACAATTGGCCTCTGACTTAAGAAAGAGCTTCAGTTGTTACCACATTCATTTTAGCATCCTTTGGACCAAATGTGAATGCGGTTTCCTTATAACAGGCTCTCAGACCAGCCTCAGAACCAGGGAAGTGCTACTATGGAAATTGCCCCACCTGACTGTCACTCCAGCCTTCCACTGAGGAGGAGCTGCTTAGCAGCCCAGTCTTGCCACTGCTTAGAGCTGCCCATCCTACCCCCAGCTGCCCTCTGCACACCATACTTCCCCTGCTAATCCCTAAGCCTTCAGTACTCCATCAGCTGTGCCCACGGGGGCCAGAGGAAGGTATTGGATCCCTTGAAGCTGGAGTTATAGACAGTTGTGAGCTACTAAGCATGGTGCTGGGAACTGAACTCTGGTTTTTTGGAAGAGTAGCAAATGCATTTAACCTTTGAGCCATCTCTCTAGGTCTGCTATCCCTGTTGCCAGTATATGGCTACGTTAGCAGAAATGATTGGCCTATCGTGTTCTTAAAGTTAACCAGAGTGGCCCTTTTAAAGGTTGTGTGTTTGGTGTCTTAAACAGCTGCTAGGCAGTCCTAATGGTAAAATTAGGACTGGGCAGATGGCATGATCTTGTGCCCCGCATCTTTGATACAGCCTTGTTAATATATAGACCATAAGTTATGTCAGCAAAATTATAGCAGCAGTCACAGCTGCCCCTCCCCCAGGGCCAAGTGAGGTAAAACACAGGAAAAGACAGCTTGTGAGCTGTGAGACAGTGCAATGCTTTTATTTATTCTTAATGCATTTTTATTTCAGCTAAACTAGCACCGTTTAACTAACAGTGCTAGTTTATATTTATATTTAACACCAAGAATATAAAATTGTTTTTTTGATTGATTATAGGATAGTTTCAGCCCTAATCAACTTGTGTTCTAAAAGAAGGTGTCCACAGACTAAGCCCAGCAGGTACCGTATGCGTCTATAACTGGGAAAGATGATGTAACGTACCCCAGAGAATCAGAGGCAGACTAACTAGCTTGAGTAAGTCTCATTTAAGCAGGAGATTGACAGGGTAAAGTCAATGTCTGTAAGTTAAAAATGAGGGGTGTAGGGAGGAAGGCAGGTAAAACCCCAGCACGTGGCAGCTACTGTTACTTAGTTCCAGGTGGACAGCACAGCCCAGCCCCCTGAGCACCGAGGAAGGAACTCGTGCTGGGGCTCCTTCAGGAAGTCTTCCCCTTTCTAAACTGAGATTGCTCAGTTTAGTTCCTTACCCTCTATAATGTCTTATTCTTAAACCATGGAAATAGTTATTCTCTAAAGCCAGCATTATTTATCATTTTCCATCTTGTTTCAATTTGTAATAAAACACATCAAAAAGGACAAAAAGGAAAGGAAAATAATCAGTCCTTTTTCCTGTATGTGAGAGAGAACATACACCCTGCCCATGGAACAAGCATAGATCAAGTTAAAATGCATCTAGTACAAGCTGAACTAAGGTACAGAAGGGGTCAGCCACCCCGTAAGCAGCCAGAACCTCTCCTCACTGATGCCAAGGAGCAGAAGTTTTGGCTGATCTTCACAGGGTGTGGTAGAAGAGGTTAGGTCATGGGCCACAGTAGGGTTTTGTTGGATATGAAGATCCAGTTGCCTTTAAGTTTCTCAGTGTCCCAGTGTCTGGGCAGGCTGTTGGCTTTGGGTTCTGTCTGTTCTTAACCTCTGTCATTCCAGTCCTGGGGGATTCAGTGGAGACCCACAGGAACCAAATCAGAAGTCATGGTGCTACCAGAACCTGTTGCTCAGAAGACCGTGACTTTCATAAGCGAACCAAGAGAGTCTGCAATATGGCCACACCCTTCCCTTTCTGATCCTATCCTGGACTCTTCTCCGGGAAAGCTGTATCTTGAGGCAGAACCCCAGGATTCTGGTGACTGTTAGATCTCTTCCCAGCCTTACCCTAGAGGGAACAAGGCAGAGTCCTGGGACCAAGGATGCAGTGATTTGGCAACTGAGGCCAGCTTTGGGATTTGGTGTTTGGGAGTGGCCACAGGAATGCCAGAGACCAAGAGCAATAAGTACCTTTCCTACTGTAGTCTGTGTGTGTGCTCAAGATTGTCAGTTACAGTTTACTCAAGAAGAGGGTAAGGGGAGTTCTTAGTCCAAGACCACCGTGCATCTATAAGTAGAAAACTGTAAGGTTTTAACTAGAAGCAGGGATACAGGATAACCACTATTAGAGAGGACTCTGGTCAAGTACATAAGGTGCCGACATGAGGGCCAGAGGCTGGATATAAGGCATCTACCGCCAGTGTCGTCCTCGAACGTCCCACTAAACGTGAGTCCCTTCCAGTAGGCAGTGTTCTTGCCTCCTTCCCTTGGGGTCAGTGCTTGTGTACGGCAGATAAAGCACTGTGACCTGGGCAGTGGGGAGGGGCTTTCTGGAGGGAGCGTCTACAGGGCTCTTGCCCTGACCCTGTGAAGGCCTGCACAGCTGCCTCTTGACAGGCGCTGTCGAGATTGTGGCAGGAGTCGGGCTTCTTCATCAAGTTGGTAATTTATTCTTTTATTGTTTATTGTGTTTTAAAAGTTTTGTGTGCATGCATATGTGCATTTGAGGGGGAGTGGTTAGGTCATGCATACTGTGACACACATGTAAAAGCTAGAGGAAGACTTTCAGGAGTTGGGTCTCTACTTCCACTGTGTGAGCCCTGGGAATTGAACTCACACTGTTAGACATGGTAGCAGGTACCTTTACTCACACTGAGCTATCTCTCTGGCCCTGTGCTGATAATTTAAAACTTACCTTTCTCCCACATTTTTTCTCTCACTTTAATTTGGAATCAGTTTTGTATCGAGACTGACCCAGCTTCTGTTTTAAATCAGAGCCACGGTGGCCTCTCCTTGGCAGAACATGGGCAGTGTGAGTGCAGAAGCCACCCTGATGAACACTCTTGCTGCCCGCCAGGAGCTCACTTTATTGGCTGCAGTGGGTTGGGTAAACATGTTTTTCAAGAGGGTGCTCATTTTACCATGGCAACAGGCTCTCCGCTTGAGTGTCTATCTGGACCACTTCTATGGCACACACTGTTCTTGAGGCTCATACATAGCTCTGCAGTGGCTTCATTCAGAGAAGGGGCAGAAGCAAAGTACAGATGGTTTGCCCATCCAAATACTGGCACTTGGCTCTTCACATGGCTAAGCGGAGCTTTTTACTGTAGTTTCCCTTTATTGATGTTTCAGTATGACGTTAGATGGGCGTTCGGGTGTGTAGTGGGGTCCTTTGAGATTAGGCCCTCCTGCTTTGTCAGAGGGTGGGGAGTAAGAACTCAGTGTCTCCTGGACAGATCTGCGACTGCCGTGAGATTTTTGTGCTTAACAACAGAGCCCCGGCAATCTGGAACCTTGAGCCTGTTAGGTCGTTGGCCAAGGAACACCAGATGCCCTCTGGGCCATGATAGTTGTCTGCTAGGCTTTACAGGAAAGAAGGGACCCAGACCTTGAGACTAGCCTTGCTGCCACATTAGTCCACTCTTGTGTGTGCTCTCTCCACAGTGGATGTGACTGCAGCGCTGCCTCTGCAAGTGGCCCCTGCAGCGGTACCCATGGATCTGCGCCTGGACCATCCGTTCTCGCTGCCTTTGGAACCCGCACTTCGGGAGCAGCAGCTGCAGCAGGAACTTCTAGCACTGAAACAGAAGCAGCAGATCCAGCGACAGATTCTCATTGCAGAGTTCCAGCGGCAGCACGAGCAGCTGTCCCGGCAGCATGAGGCGCAGCTACATGAACATATCAAGGTGAGTAGCAGCCTTGGGCTCTGTGTCATATGCTCTTCTGTCCAGAGTCCATTTACCTGTGGAGTGCTAAGACATGTGAACCAGGTACCCTCTGGGTGACAACTGCTTCTTCTTCCTCATGGTTGGTGTGTGTGATTTCATCGAGTGTTGAGGTATGGACAGGCGACAGCTGCTTTTTCTTGTGCCCAGGATGGTCATCATCCATCTGGTGTTTAGTCTCATGGACCAGATAAATTCTGGGTGACACCTGCTCCTTCTGTCCCCAGGATTGGCATCATCCATGGAATGCTAAGACTTGTGAACCAGATACCCTCTGGGTGGCACATGATTCCTTCTGTCCCCAAGGCCCAGTCTTATCCACAGAGTGTCAAGACCCAGGAACCAGGTGACCATCATTGTAAGGCTGCTGCAAATGTCCTAGGCCTTATGGGTCCAGAAGAGGGGATAGAACCTCGTGGTGTAGAAGTTGCCTTCTGAAAGTGGATACACATGTAGAAAGATGGCCAACAGGAAGACAGGCCGAAAAGTAACAGACACCTCAGAGGACTCAGGGTTCATTGTGGTTTTCCTTAGATTTTCTCACTGACTTTTCATAAATGACCCTTCCCCCCAAAGAAAAACAAAACAAAACAAACAAACAAAAAAAAAAAAAAAACAGGAAAAAAGCCTGTTTAACAAAGACTGTTTTAATGCCTATTAATACTCTATAGCTATTTAATCTGATGCCAGAATTTCAAATTAAGAAGATTGGAAAGAAACATACAGGGGTGACATGTGGATGTTAAATGGTGAGTCTGGCAGTGCAGGAGTATCTCTGCTGAGAACCATGTTGAGCCATACTCTCCAGTGGAAACTACATTTTGCAGTAGTCACATTAAAGCAAAAAGCCTTCTCTGTCTAACAAAATCACCCCAAAACATCATAGCTTCGGTACAGACAATATTTTTTTGCAGGTAAGGAATTGAGGAGCAGGTATTGGGTTCTGATTCTCATGTAATTGCCCTGTGTTGGTCCAGATTCTCTCCTCTGAGGCCTAACTAGGCTTGGAATGGAGGTTGTAAGGTCAGATATCTATGTCCTCATGCAGGGCCTGCTCACTGCATAGCAACAGCTTTGCCAGAACCACCTTGCCTACCCAAGAGAACAGGACCAAGATGGATTCCCAGCATCTAAGACCCCTGGGCCTGGATTGGTGCTAACAGCTCTGCAATACTGCCATCACCAGAACAGTCTCATAAGCCGTGGGAGGGTCCTGGGCAGTGACTTCTGTCTGTAGGCCATGCTGTGGCTTGCTGAGGAGGCTGGACAGACCCTTCCCTGGTTCAGATAGCACATTACAGAGCCCCGCTTGCCCTGGTGAACAGGCTGTCTAGGAATGTGTGTGCTGAGAACATGTACTGTTTAGGCATTGTGGGAAGAGAGGCTCTAAAAGCCTCACCCTGGGCTCTGAGAGCTGTCTGTAAGGCGGCTGGGGTCTTTGGTATTTTGATGGTTGCTCTGATAATTGTCCTGGGATGTGGGACTTTCGCTGCCACTACTGCTGCTGCTCTGTGCTCTTGGTTTTGGGGTGTGCTGAGAAAGGATTGACTCTGTCAGCACCAGACTCTTCATACTTCCTCTCCTACCTGATAGGAGAGACCAACACCAGGCCTAGGAAAGACAGCCCTGCTGACAACAGTTGTCCAGTGCTCTGTTGTGGATGGCTAGGCATACTTCCCTGTTTTCCAGGACTAGGAGTTGGGTGTCTCAGACTGGCCTCAGGTAGGGACCATGTGCCCACTGGAAAACAGTATAAGTCATTTCAGATAATGGCACCCAGTGGTCCTGATGTGCCAGCTGAAAAAGTGCCGCCTCACCAGGCTGCTTGTCTTATTCTCTGCATGACCTGTAGCCTCACACATCTGTGACTATTAAAAAACAATTTAAAGCCAGGGTCTTAGCTTTCTCACGTTCTGTGTAGCCAGCTCACAGCTCCTCCATGGCAGCTTCCTGACCCTTCTCACTGTTGGTTTTTAGAAGTTTATGGTCTGTCCTCCCTCTGTGCTTCCAGATCTTGATGCTGCATTGCATCTCTGATCAGGCCTGTAGGACTGCCTCTGTCCTGTAACCTGTGAGCTTTCGGCTGTGCTTTGGAAATCCACTTTCAGAGGCTGGTTCTGTAGCCAGGTTTCTGGGCCTAAGTCCTTCTCTGAAAGCTGGCCCAGTACACAGGGAAGCTATGCCAGGGATACACCTAGGCTAATTCCAGGCCAGAAGCTGTCTCCAACCCTAAAGCAAGCAGTAGAGTGAGCCCAGTGTCCTGTGACACAGGTTCAGGGAGGTGGGCCTCTGCTGGACACAACCTAACTGTCCTGGCTACCTCAGAACTAGCCACACCAGTGTGTGTACTGGCTTTCCTCAAGACTCTATGTGGACCCTGGCCAAAGACAGACTTGGGGATGCTGCTGAGTTACAGGTGACCTGTCCCTGCCATTGAACATTTCTCTCCGCTGCTGCTTATACACACCAGCCCTGCCAGCAGCATGTAGCACACAGAAAGACAGGGCTGGATGTACAGTGGGAGGCTCTAGCAGGTGTAGTGAAGAGTAACTTTGTGTCCTTGTTCTGTCAATTGACTAGATGTTCCCATGGTTTAGACAATGGGAGGCTCAGAAATAAATCTCCCTGCCTCCGTGAGTTTTCAGGGCTGTAGCAAGAAGCAAAAAGACTTCCCTTGAGTTTTGGTCCCATCAGCCAGAGTGTTCTTTCCTGACCAGTCCTTGCTTAGCACCCACACATCTGGTGTCAGTCCAGGTGAGTTCCTAGGATCGTGCTCCTCTACGCTACAGTTCTAGACCCATCTAGGAGAGACGCCATAGGCCCAGAAACCCAGCTGCAGAGCTGGCCTCTGAGACAGAACCCCAGAATCATAGAAAGTCAGGGTTACATTTTCCTTTGTGTTTTAATCATTTTTTCATTAAAATTGGAACCATAAAGCCTTCAGACTGTTTAATTGTGTCATTGCATCAGCAGTCTTTTGTTTTGATGGTTTAAACTTTCTTTATGCCATCATATTGTTAATGACACTTGGCAGTGATGTTTGTCAGACAGATTTCTTGAACACACAATCTAATTAGTGTCATTAAATCATCAGTGAATTTGAATAGAATTTATAATTGGAACAGGAGTTGTTTTTAAAGTAAAACTTGAGTTGTTAATTTGGGGTAAACAAGGTCTTTCCAGGGGTTGTAATTCCCAGAATCACCCTATCCCAGCTGCAGGCCCAGCTCCTCTGCTCATTTCCCTGTAGCATTAATTTCTCGCCAGCCTGAAGGGTTGGGGTGCAGGCTGAATGGGGAGGTGGTGCTGTCTCATTAGCTGAAATCAGTCCTACAGAGGCTGTGTCTGTTTCAGACCAGGTGCCATGGAAGATGAAGACAGTGGCCCAGAGTACCCACCCTGGGGGTTTGTGGTATTGTTTTAGTGTTTAGAAGCACTGTTTTTCACCAAGTGAATACACCCTCTTAGTGTTTCTACTTGAAAAGTAGCGTGGGGTTAGCAGATAGCAGAGGACCCTGCCTGTTTCCTCACAAAGGCTTCAGACCCCAGAGCTGACCTGGGGCAATCACGGTCAGCCTTGTCCTCCATGAGGACTTGGTACAGCAGGCTCCTTCTCTGGGGGAAGGTTGTTCACTCACTCCATCCTGACTACAAATGTGTGCCCTGCTCCTTCTGAGCCTGGCATGCCTCACCTGTCCTTTTGAATAAAGAATTAAATGTTTAATTATTGTCATGCATGCACTGTTCTGCTGAGCCCTGGAATTCATAGTTTTCTGTTATTGAGTTTCCTATATAAATCCAGTCCCCCAACCTGAGGGGCCAATGGCCAGTCTAAAATGAGTGACATAGAAACTGATTTTCCAAGATGAACTTATTCAGAAATTTCCAGGGTATGCAACCCATGAAAGAGATAGATGTAAACTGAGAGGCTGGGCGGGAGGCAACTGAAAGATTGAGAGAGAGAGCATCCATTCTTCTATGATACTAGACCCTTGGGCACAAGGGGGTTGTTGTGGGGCTTGTGCTACAATGTGTTAGCCAGCTGTCCAAAACAAGAGGCAGTGGCCAACACTTAGAGCCCAAGAGGCAGGACCAGGGACACTCCAGGCCATCTGTTCTTACTTCATTTCCCCCACTATCCTCTCCCACATTCCCTTCATGTCTTAGTCAGGGCTCCTGTTGCTATGGTGAAACACCATGACCAAAAGCAAGCTGGGGAGGAAAGGGTTTATTTGGCCTATGCTTCCACATCCATAGTCTGTCCCTGAAGGAGGCCAGGACAGGGACCTGGAGGGAGGAGCTGATGCAGAAGCCATGGAGGAGTGAGTGATGCTTACTGGCTTGCTCCCCTGGCTCGTTCAGCCTCCATTCTTATAGACCCAGGAGCACTAGCCCCAGGGTGGACCCCACATCCCCCATCAATCACTCATGAAGAAAATGTCACAGGCTTGCTACAGCCCAGTCTTACAGAAATATTTCTGTAGTTGGGGTTCCCTGCTCTCAGATGTCTCTAACCTGTGTAAAGTTGATAGAGAGTCAGTACACTGTACACCCACAACTGCCGGTGTACTCAGCCGTCTCTGTGTGCCTCATGCCTGTCTTATTTTTTCTATGATTTTTGTGTTGTTTTCAGTTGCAGTGCTGGTCTTTTCTTATAGGTGTAGGAGTGCTCTTTATGAATAACGGACATTGTTCCAGCCTCCACTCTTCATTCTCACTTGACACAGAGTAGTTACCCACTTTTCTTATCATGAAATAAATGTTCTTTCTGAACAGATTAAACATGAGGCCTCTGTTCCTTCTCATGTGCATTTTTACATGTCTGTGTCTTTAGCTTTCGACATCCTTAATGCTGGCATCATGCAGCTCTGGCAGTACCCACATAGACGATAGACTGACTGTCCGTCTTCCCACACCTTGTTTCTCTACAAAGAACTTCCTTGGCTTGTCTGGCTTGTTTC